GAATGACGATTTGGCTGGCTGGCTGGCTGGCTGACTGGCTGACTGGCTGGCTGGCTGGCTGGTTGGCTGGCTGGCTGACTGGCTGGTTGGCTGGCTGGCTAGTTGACTGCGGTTGATTAGGTGAACCGGCCTGTTCGTGAATGTATGACTGAGTTGTGTGTTGATCTGAACGACTTGAGTTCGGGAGTATGTTCAGCCAATAAGTGACAGACGAGACGGGCAGTGCAACCGACTGTCTCATCCACCTACCCATCCGTTCAACCAACGGTCTGCCCATCAACCCAGTTGTCCAGCTCAGCCCCATGTTAAACCCAGCCTCACACTCAAAGTCGATTTAATAAGACCGGTTAATGATGATAAGAGGGCACTGGGAGAGGGTGTGGGCGTGTGCAGTTTTTGTTTTGGAGAAAGGGAATAAAACGAGGTTGTGTCTGGTAGTTCCTGATCGAAACGAATGCAATACATTGTAAAACTGTGTGCCATCTTGGCCGGGCTCCGGTGTGACATCGAGGTCACTTCGAATGTGTGTGTGTATGCGCCTAATTGTATACACACCCACACTGTCGCATCCCTTCGCCATCGTACACAGTTCCGACCGGACAATTAGTGAGATCGGAAGACCAATTGTTCTTTTGTTTTCTTCTTTCTGAAAAGACAAGAGCCAGTCAGTGGAGGAATAGGCAAGTCAATCACTTAGTCAGTTAGTCAGTGAACCATTCCGAATGCAACTTAATTTGAATGTATGAACATAGTGAACCAGCTATTGGCGAACTTATTTCACGATGACCTTTATCAAAATGATAATTTTCTTTCTATGTTTAATACATCAAAACTCCATAATCTGCGCTTTTAGCGGTCAAATGCATCTTGTCCCCTGCGATATTACGCCATCCAGATTAGGTTGGAATCATTTGAAACTCATGCTCTACCCGCTCATATGATGATTTTATTCCGTACCCTACTAGGTAGCACGAATCCTATTTTGTATGTATTCAACACTATTAGGTGTATGTAGGAGTAACAGGGATGACAGTCGGTTTACGAAGTTTCCTTTTGGTCTCTTAGTTCCTTGCTTTCTCACTCTAGCTCTGTTTACCAGGTGAATTGAAAATCAGAATTTGAAGAATAAATTTTTTTCTCTATTGTTCCCGTGGGTCATCAGTTGTCATGCCTATAAAATGTGCACTCAGGTAACACGCCTGAAATTTCTATCGTTATACCTCAGTCAAAGGCGCATTTTCACAGTGACTTTTCTCAAAGGTTGGTGGAAGTCCGCGAAAGTGGTGAAATTGTGAGTTGCTAGATCTCGGTTCATTACATAATGCCAACAAGTATCACACACGCCAGTGAAAAAGTCTCTGTAGTACTGTACAACTGTTTGATCTTTATAGGGCATCGTCAGTAGTGAATGTCCATGAAGTTTCATCTGGGTCGAAACCGGGCGTACAGGGACGTGTAGAATCGTGCGTTGCCACCAAACCACCTGGTTTAGATCCTATGGTCTTTTATGTATTGCACTGTCATGACCTTTTCAAGGAACTCTGCCCACGTTTCAGACAAGAAGTGTTCACAGTTGCAATGGGATAAATAAATGAAAAAAGCGATATGCAACCATGGTAAAACTTAAACGAAAGATCATGTTTATAGATTTAAAACCAACTTATTTTGTATCTTCTTCCTGCCAGTTAGAATACGAGCTAATTAGAGTACTGTTGATACATTTTTATGCTGGAAGATAAGAAGCGATAATTGGATTGGGTTGTACCGTGGGAATGTCAGGTAGATAGATCTGCATTGAGGGGCCAGCTGGGATCATTATGATTCTTATGAGCAAAATTCTCACACGAAATTACGAAAATCACAGTTTTGTGGCGTGTGCTCATAGAACTGAGAAAAACACGACCAATAATTGCCATACCGCGACGAAAGAGTAATCAAATTCTTTCTTAAGTAGGCCAGGGGAAATAGCAACAATGAATGTTTGGGAAAATGCACTGCTAAACAGAGGAACATGTAGTTGAATATTTCAATCTTAATTGTCGCAGCTTGGGTATCTGGAAGGATACGCGATGCAGTCTGCAAAGACAGGCTTTCTCAGGGTAGGACCCTCGTAGATGATTCCCTATGGAGACTCCTACGTACTTTGTGAAGTGCGTTCTGCTAATAGGTACCGAAGGGATGACTGAGGTTTCCGAAGGATGCTCAAAACGGGAAGGACCAAAAACGCGTTTGAAACATTTTGAAGCCACACACCTGGTGGAATCAAACCACGTAATTAATTTGGCCGAGGCGTTTCGACCCCTCTACTTGGTTCGCACCCGCCAATCTGATAGGATTAGGAGTCGCATTTTGGCCATAGCGGAAGCGATCGGAATCCACCTACATAATTCCCCCCATGCTCCCAAAAACAATTCGTAAGAACACTCGGTCTTTCATGGCCAACACCACACACGACACAACCATCCCCAAACAAGTGCGCATGTGTGAGGACCAAAGTGTGAGTGACATCCGGTCATGTAACTGGAATGGTAATTATCTCTTTCCAACTTGTAGTGATCTCTCTCTCCCCCCCCCGTGCCAAAAACTTTGATATAAATTGTGATGTATTCGCCTGTAGAAGAATCACTGCAAACGAGCTTTTTCGCTACTTTGTGTTTTCTCACATTTTGAAGCATTCAGCTGGTAACCGGATTGACTAGAGAGTGCTTTCACTGATGGCAAGTTGTCAGAAAATAGTTCTGTATCAGACTGGTTTGAGCTGGCTTGCCATAAGAACTCATTATCATCATTGATTGTAAACCCGCCTTGAGAAAGGTTACCCACGGTAACCGAAAGGCCGGCGAATATAATTCTCTACTGACATCGCTGTATTATTAACATTATAACATTCACAATAAATTTAATGATCGCTAAAACAATGATACCGTTTGAAATGAAATCGCGGGAATTTTTAAATTTTAAGTGCATTGCCAGTGGTATAATATTTTTGATGACGAAGACTGAATGTTTATCAATCTACGGAGAAATGAAATAATTCACCGTAAATGGTTCGTTCCGTCACAACACTTATTAGTCTACCTGACGATTGTTATGAACATTGAGAATTCATCAGGAATGATTTGAGGAAGTTTCCAATTACCCTTTAGGATTGCTGGGAATGAGTATGAGCTCACATTGTAAATTAATACAAACGGTATATTGAAAATATTTAAAATAAAATCTTGCCCGAATTAAGTATTTTCTGTCTATATCCGATTCTTATTTCTTCAGGATTCTCAGTGGACAGTTTACATTGACTGATTTCTAGTGCAGAAAAAATTGAAATTTGCACACAAAATTCCATTGGTTAAAACATCTCAGAAAAGGACTTCTTCTCAGTCCCTTCCACTAACTTTGTAATAGCTCTGGTCTTACTTGTCTATTATTAGTCACTCTAGTGTCTCCTCACTTGAGGATAAATCTTTCGCCTTTTACTAAAGATTTCCGTGAGGAGACAGGAAACAATCAGTCGAAACTCATTTTTTACAACCCCTTGATCCAGAGAGCGGGGCCTTTGAATTCCCCTTCACTGTCATTGTTGTTGCGTTGGCACCATGCTTGTTTTCAAGCCGGTGGTAAATATATATATACTTTGAATTCCGCTGCGCCAGTTAGCTCGAAAATCATATTTACACCTTTTTGTGGATTCATTCATCATCAACTCACATCGATATCAATTTCAATCACACAAAATGCTATCCTACGCGAGCACGTTTGTGAAATCTTTATGTGTTATCTCGTGAACCTCACCAATTGTGAAATATTCCAACATTGTGAGAAATAAGTTCTAGTAGATTATCAAAACAGAAGGCGGTAGAGGGAGAAATCATCAGGCAGGTTGGCAAGTCGGTCTCAGACAGTGCAGTACCAGTCAAATGCAAATTCCTCTAGTTTTAACAAGCAATGTTCGTTCTCTGTTGAGAAAAGTTGAGGAAGTAGCAGACATCATACAGAAAAAGGAGTAAAAAACCTAGGGATTATTATGCTACAGGAATCGTAGTTGCCTGAAGAAATCCCCAGTGAAATTGTACAACTGGGTGGATATAACTTATATCGGGTTGACCATCCCATGGGTATCCATAAACGAGGCGGTGTTGCAAGTTACGCTAGCGACAATTGGAGTACATCAACCGCCGTCATCTACGAATACTCAGCGGATAAAATCAGCTGCCACATCGTTGAATGTAAGCCTCGTTTTTTGAGTGGGAAGCTTTCACCTGTCACCCACAAAATCAGTGGCTGACATAACTAGGTTTTCTGACATTTTTCTATCTCCATCATATCAAGAACAAGGATTCTTTGTGTGTATTTGTTGATGATTTGAACAGACATGATGTAACTTTCCTCATTACACTGGGTCTACAATATTTGGTACATTTTCCTACCGGACTCAATGCATAACTAGATATCGTTTTTACAAATAGACCGCAAGTTTTCAAAGACCAGAAACGTGCTCCTCTGAGCAGCTCGGATGATTGTATCTTAAAAGTGTCCCACTGTATACAGCTAAACTAACCGGTACACGTTTTTAAGAAGGCATTCAAAGATAGTGAGTTAAAGAAATTGTTCACATGAGAACCTAAAAAGGTTAAGATCCCTGATCGCCGCCGCAGATTTTTCGGTGTTTCCCGATCAGAACCCTTCTGTCCTTTGTGAACGTGTTACGGGCTACCTTAATTTTTGTTTTAACCAGTTTTGCCTACTTGAAACGGTCTTCATCCATAAAGACAGATATTCATCGCCTCTACTAAAACAGATAGGCAGACCTATAAACGTGGAAAAAGAACCCATATCAAGCGGTTTCAAATTTTGATCAAAGCTGAAATACATCGGTTGAATAAATTGTACATGGACACTATCCTTGGAAACACTATTTGTCGTGGCATGTGGAAAGCTATCAACCGCCTGTGTGGCAGTAGAAGTAAACACAAAAGGGAAACTGTCGATGTTGAAAAACTAAATTCCGAGTTTAGTCCAGTTTCACGTTGCACTGCCCTACCAGACTTAGTCAGCTCTAGGCCAATGCTAAGTATCCAACCGCCGACGGTCCTTCAACAGCTACTCAAANCGTTGAATAAAGCATCTGGTCCGGATGAACTATCAGCCGTGGTACTCAAGGGATGTGCGGACACTCTTTCAGCCCCGTTGTCCAAAATATTCAATGACTGTCTGACAAGTGGAAAAATCTCCGATATTTGGAGACTGGCCAAGATAACTCCCGTTGCAAAAAAGGAATCCGGGAAGTATCATCCCATCGGCTGCACATCAGTCATGCTCAAATTGACTGAGAGATGATTGTTACCGTGGGTTGTCACTGAGTCTGCCAAAGACGACATACATCAATTTGCATATCGTTCCTCGCGCTCAACAATTGAGGCCGTTGCATACTTTGTTCATTTAATAATTTCGGCACTAGATAAGAAAAGTAAGACCGTCAGATGATGTTCTTAGACTACAAAAACGCTTTCGGCAGTCTCGATCAATCGGTACTGCTTAATCTGATTACCAAAAGTGATATTAATCCAAACGTTAGCAGATTGATCTGCGATTATTTCACAAATAGAAGGCAAAAGGTCCTCCACTAGCCCAGTTGCTTTTAGTGTTCTGCAAAGTGCANAGACTACAAAAACGCTTTCGGCAGTCTCGATCAATCGGTATTGCCTAATCTGATTACCAAAAGTGATATTAATCCAAACGTTAGCAGATTGATCTGCGATTATTTCACAAATAGAAGGCAAAAAGTCCTCCACTAGCCCAGTTGCTTTTAGTGTTCTGCAAAGTGCAATATTTGCCCCATTCCTTCTGCCTTAATTGGCCGTAAATATGCAGATGACGTTGGTTTAGGCTGCAAAGCATCCACCCCTGAAGAGGCTTCCGAAATTCAAAGCAAGCTGAATGACGTTATCACTTGATCCTTGTCCCGGTCCCTCTCATTGGACGCCTCTAAATGTCAGGATGTTGTTTTTTCCTCGTTGGCCGACGTACCATATTCAGCCCTCACAGATAGGTTCCCTACCCGTAAAATACCTTGGCGTCACATTATCACTCAATTTATTATGGTCACAACATGTTCAAAACACATTCTGTAAAGTTAGTAACGTTTCATATTTCTCACTCCGATTGAGAATACTTTCTGTTCCCCACAAACTGATTGTTAGATTTGTGAATGCATGCGTGCTCCCCTACTGGCTGTATTGTTCCCCAGTGATTTTTCCCGGTATGTTGAAGAAAGACTTTTATTTACTGGTGAGATCTCTGAAACACATTTCTAAATGTAGTAGCATCGTCAAAGATAAACTAGCGGATTCTATCATAGACAGACACATACAAGCATGCGAAAATTTCACTGCCAAAATACTCTCAGACACTCATCACCTATGATACAACGAATTTTCAAAAGATGTATCTACATCATCCAAAAACTCAAGATATAAACTTTTATTTGCACGTACGTCTTCTTAGCGTAATTCTGTTTTGCCGTATATAGCACGACTACTTACTGACAGGGAGAAAACTTCGACAGAATTGTGCAGTTGCTTGATAAACACAAAATCCACTGCTTTCAGTTTCACTATGTATGATTTTGTAAATTTGAATCCACAAATATGATGTAAATTCTGAAAATTCACTCATCCAAGTGCATAAATCTACTACTGACTTGACACTATAAATAATTATTTTCATTAGTTGGTATTAAACATTCATTACAATTGGTTGTAATTGGATTCAAGAAGTGTATTCTTATCCTACTTTTCACACCGGATTGTTATTGTGCGTTCATCAATCAATCAATCAATCAATCAATCAATCAATCAATCAATCAATCAATCGTATAATTAATTGCATGTGTGACAGAATATAAGCGATGTGTCAGTTTTGTGTTTTTGTTAATACTTTCCCTTTCGCTTCAGCCATGCACTCACTGTCCTCTCAAAGTTCAACGAGGAGAGGGAAGGGGG